GTCTGATTCTACCACCATCAATACACAAAGATATATATTTCTTTTTAAATATCCTTCCATTACCATTACTAAATTGGTTTGTGATAATCATTTTCATCGCCGGACCCTTTCCCTCTCTACGTATCCCATCCACCCTTCAGGAATTACGTATGGGGGGGGGGGGACGCCAAAACAATAAGTTCGACAATGAATCCGCCGCGAAAATTATAGCTCGTAAAAACAGTCGTAAGTCAGCAGTAATTGATCCTCGCGCATGGCTGAATATATGCTAATGAATCAAAAGTACAATGGCTTAGCTCTGCAACGCCAATGCATCTTGCACGCACCCAAACCTGCCTCCGCCATCAAGATCTATAATGGGATGACCAGGGGTGGAAATTCCCTTTATATTACAGCTACTGCTTGTGCAATGGTTATCGCTCCTAGTCTCTCTAAAGGTACTGCAATTACCATACATCACCCAGCCCCTTCTATACGTGTAGTGATTGTCCTTCAAGAGCCTATAATCCGGCTGTGTGATGAGTGGCCTGTGATAATTGCTCTGTGATAACAGCTGTATGATGATTGCTGTGATGACTGATTTATGGTGATTGCTCTGTGGTGGAAGCTGTGTGATGGCTGCTGTATGATGTTTAGGAACTGTTCTATGTGATGCCTATTATATGATGGTTAATGTATGATTGCTGTATGATAAATGCTGTATATTAAATTGTGTGATGATTTCTGTATGATGACTGTTGCATGATGACGGCATTATGATGACTGCATTTCATCTTCTGCGTATGCTAACCCTCCGTCTCGTTGGGAGCTTCAGAGACGCAGCCGCCGCTCGCTTGAAGTACGAAAGTGGAAAAAAGTTAGAAATTTTAAACAATGTTAGGCAATTTTTCGCTTCGAAACGCCGCAATTTCTGTAAAACTTAGCAGGCCTGACGCGGTGGCTCTTATTGATGCGAGGGAAGGAAATGGAGTAGGCAAGAAAGGTGTGTAGTATTGAAGAGGAAAAATGGAAGAGAGAGAGTAAAAAAGACGAAAGAGGGGAAAAGAGAGAGAAAAAAGGAAAAAAATGGATGACATATCTTTCCCTTTCGTACGTTAGAGACTGACATTTTCCCCCCATCTGCCAATAGAGAGAGACATACAGAGAGAGAGAGAGAGAGAGAGAGAGAGAGAGAGAGAGAGAGAGAGAGAGAGAGAGAGGAGAGAGAGAGAGAGAGAGAGAGAGAGAGAGAGAGAGAGAGAGAGAGAGAACGAAGAAAAGAGAGAGAGAGGGGGGGGGGGAGAAAAGAAAAGAAAAAAGCGAAAAGCGTAGGTGATCCTCAGGAACACGAACCAATATGTCGGTGTATTGAGAAAAGTGTCTCGGGCTGGTTCTACCGAATTGATCTTATATGAGATGTAGCGAACAATTCACATGGAGAAAGAGGGGATAAAAAAGGAGAGGGAAAAATGAGAGGAAATGTTTTATTCCGTGTCACGATGGCTTCGGCTTCCTCTTGATGAAAATCTGGTGTCTGTTCTCGAACTCTCTGCGGTGAGGGTGTGGAGTGTGTGTGTTGGGGGGGGGGGGGGGGATACAGAGATAGATTGGTGTTTTCACGTGTGTGTTCGTGTGTATGGGTGTGCTCTACGTGGGTCTGTGTGCGTTCATATATGTGTTTATATTCGGATATGTGTGCATGTAAACTTCATGTTTATCTGTTTTCTTTAGATATGTAGGCATGCATGCTTCTATTGTTTATGTGTGCAATTGTAATTCATAAACATTAAGTGCTATACTGGCTATAAGAAACTTATAGCTAAATCTGTTCAGAATAAATACATACTTAACGCACTTGTTGTGTGTGTGTTAAAGTGTATCTCTTGTGTGTGCGTATCTTAAGGGAAAGAAATCCTGTAGGTTTCAAAATCTCTGCCGTATACATCGTACGGCATTGTACGGCAGGCGCCATCCCCTTGCCCACGCCCCTTCCCCGAGTCTTTTTATACAAAAGATATTAATTTTATAGTTCGTTGGATCCCTATATAGCTGTGCCCGTTATTAATTTCTTCCATTGAAGGGGTTGTTCGCAACAGAATAGATCTGTGTGTATGAGGATAAGTGCATGTGTGTACGTGTGTTTACTGTGGATACGCTCACAGATAGACGAACAAACACAGACACGCACAGATACAAGCGCAAATACTCACAAGCTAAGCCACACACACACGCACACACACACACACACACACACACACACACACATCCTTGCATATGCTTGTGTCCACACGTGCTGATAACATCGCTGTGTTGCAAGGAGATGAAGCAATAATTCTTATCTTTAATCTCTTCTGTTTTTGCTTGTTTATTTTTTCTCCTTCTTAGCCATCGTTAAGAACCACTTTCTTCTTTTCTTTCACGTTTTTTCTTTTTCGTCATTATTTCTCTCATTTTCTTATTATTACATTATTAATAAAATTTATTGTTTTTAAATCACTTTGACGATTACAAAACCAGATTTCATTGATATTGATTTTAATATTAACCTAATAGAAATATACATATATGTAAATATATATATATATATATATATATATATATATATATATATATATATATATATATATATATATATATATATATATATATATCAATAAGATTATTTTTGACGTCAACTGAAGGCGATTGTTTTCACTGTTTCTTATTGTTTTTTTTTTGTATGTCGATCACTTAGTGCTACCTTTTCAACATTCATCAACATTTCTTTTTTCTTCATTTCCATTCTTTTTACATTTTTGTTGTTGTTTTTGTTTTTGTTTCCGACGTGGTTGCCGAAGGTGACGGAAGGAAACCCCCGACGACGAGTAAGATTCATGCAGTTGATACGAATTTATGCATGGACAGAAATTCTCACTTTTTAACATTCCTTGTCTTGTGACATTTGAAAGTCAGATGAAAGACTTGAAAGATGTGTTGAATAATGCGTTGAATTTCTTCTTTTTTTTTCTCTCTCTCTCTATGTCTCTTCTTTCTTGCCTTTATTGTGTGTGTGCGTCCTTCTTAGTTTCTTGAGTTTGCGAGATTTTTTTTTTAGTCATGAAGAAAGGTGTATGGGTGCTTTGTGTGAGGGAGGGAGTGAGTGTGTGTGTGTGTGTGTGTGTGCTGTGTGTGTGTGTGTGTGTGTGTGTGTGTGTGTGTGTGTGTGTGTGTGTGTGTGTGTGTGTGTGTTTATGTATGTATATGTATATATATGTATATATATATATATATAATATATATATATATATATATATATATATATATATATATATATATATATATATATATATATATATATATATATATATATATATATATATATATATATATATATATATATATATATATATATATATATATATATATATATATATATATATATATATATATATATATATATATATATATATATATATATATATATATATATATATATATATACATAATACATATATATATATATATATATATATATATATATATATATATATATAATATATATATATATATATATATATATATATATATATATATACATACATATATATATATATATATATATATATATATATATTATATATATATATATATATATATATATATATATATATATATATATACATGTATGTGTGTGTGTGTATGGACGGACAGATAGATTGATAGAGAGATAGACAGAAGAGACACTGATAATCCGACAGAAGATAAAAATATAGGTAGTTAAACAGGCGGTCAAAGAGAGAGAAATATCAGATGAGAAATCGCAGACAAACAGAGATACACACACACACACAGACAAAAAAATATGTCGATAGATGTGCACGTATGTAGGACTCGCCCATGTACGCATGCATGTATATTAGTTCATAACACCCCCGTCGTTTAATTTGAACGCAATACCAGATGCAGATATAGGTCACAAGGTCATCAAAATCCAATTAGATTCGCACCCTCTCCCGCCGCCATTTTGTAATTGGTGGATTGTGCAATAGGCAAGGATTCTTAAGGAGAAAGGGAACGGAGGAGAGGGGAAAGGAGGGAGAAGAAGAGGAGAAGGTGAAGGGAGGGTGAGGAAGAGGAGGAAGAGGAGGGGGGGAGGAGAAAGAAGAGAACGAGAATAGAAGAAGAGACAGGGAGAGAATAAGAAAAAGATCAAGAAATCCGAGACGGGGAAGTTGGAGAAAAAATAGGAACAATGGAGAAAAAAAAAAAATAGAGGAAGAAAAGAAGAGCAAGTAAATAAAAGAAAGAAGAGACGAGGAAAACGGAGAAAAATAAAAAAAGGAAAAAAATACAACAACAACAAAAACAGAAACGAAATCCCGAACCCAAAACCTCCACCGAATAGACCGTCACATCTCCGCCCTCCCTACCCCCCTACCCCTACCCCCGCCACAGCGCCCGCGTACGGATCACACGAGTTCGGATCCGGTTCTTATCTCCTGTAACGAACGGCGTCTCCTGCCTCGTTCCCCGGCCGTTCCCGCGTTCCGGATCGGCGCTCTCGGGAAGGGACACGCGCTCTCATTATGTTGCGGGAGATCGCCACACGTCACGGCGGGGACTAATGAAAGGGGTGGGAGGGGGCGGGGTGAGGGGGGGGGGTCGTCTCGTAGGTGTTGGGTGTGGTGTTGTGTATCGGTTGTCGGTGTTGGGTGTCGGTTGTCGGTGTTGGTATTGGGTGTTGTGTATCGGTTGTCGGGTGTTGGGTGTCGGTTGTTGGATGTTGGGTGTTGGATGTCGGTTGTTGGGTGTAGGTTGTGGTTTATCGGGTGTTGGGTGTCGGTTGTCGGGTGTTGGGTGTTAGTTGTCGGGTGTCGGTTGTCGGTCTTCGGGTGTTGGGTGTCGGATGTTGGTTTTCGGGTGTTAGGTGTTGGTTGTTGGATGTCGGTTGTTGGTTGTCGGTTGTCGGGTATCGGTTGTCGGTTGTTGGGTGTTGTGTATTGGTTGTCGGGTGTTGGCTGTCAGATGTTGGTTTTCGGGTGTCAGGTATTGATTGTTGGTTGTCGATTGTCGGGTGTTGGTTGTCGGTTGTCGGGTGTTGGGTGTTGGGTGTTGTGTATCAGTTGTCGGGTGTTGGGTGTTGTGTATCGGTTGTGGGTTGTCGGTTGCCGGTTGTTGGGTGTCGGCTGTTGGGTGTTGGATGTTGGATGTTGGTTGTTGTGTATCGGTTGTCGGGTGTCGGTTGTTGGGTGTTGTGTATCGGTTGTCGGGTGTCGGTTGTTGGGTGTTGTGTATCGGTTGTCGGGTGTCGTGTTAGTCGGTTGTTGGGTGTTGTGGGTTGTCGGTGTCGTTGTGTATCGGTTGTTGGGTGTTGTGTATCGGTTGTCGGGTTCGGTTGTTGGGTGTTGTTGTATCGGTTGTCGGGTGTCGGTTGTTGGGTGTTGTGTATGTTGGGTGTTGTGTATCGGTTGTCGGGCGTTGGGTGTCGGCTGTCGGGTGTTGGATTTCGGTTGTCGGGTGTTGGTTGTTGTGTATCGGTTGTCGGATGCTGGTTGTCGGGTGTTGGGTGTTGTGTATCGGTTCTTGGGTGTCAGGTGTTGTGTGTCGGTTGTCGGGTGTTGGGTGTTAGTTGTCGGGTGTCGGTTGTCGGCTATCGGGTGTTGGGTGTCGGTTGTCGGCTGTCGGTGTTGGATGTCGGCTGTCGGGTTGTTGGTGTGGTTGTCGGTTGTTGGGTGTTGGATGTCGGCTGTCGGGTGTTGGGTGCCGGTTGTCGTTGTCGTTGTCGGGTGTCGGGTGTCGGTTGTTGGGTGTTGGTTGATGGGTGTCGGTTGTCGGTTGTTGGGTGTTGGGTGTCGTTGTTGGTGTTGGTATGTCGGTGGTCGGTTGTTGGGTGTTGTGGGTGTCGGTTGTTGGGTGTTGGATGTCGGCTGTCGGGTGTTGGGTGCCGGTTGTCGATTGTAGGTTGTTGGGTATTGTGTATCGGTTGTCGGGTGTCGTTGTTGGGGGTGTTGGTTGTCGGTTGGTTTGTCGGTTTGTTGGGTGTTGGGTATCGGTTGTCGGTTGTTGGGTGTTGGGTGTCGGTTGTTGGGTGTTGGATGTCGGTTGTTGGGTGTTGTGTATTGGTTGTCGGTTGTTGGGTGTTGGTTGCCGGTTGTCGGTTGTTGGATGTTGGGTGTTGGGTGTTGGATGTCGGTTGTCGGTTGTTGGGTGTTGGATGTCGGTTGTAGGGTGTTGGATGTCGGTTGTTGGGGGTTGGTTGTCGGTTCTTGGGTGTCGGTTGTCGGGTGTTGGATGTCGAGTTTTAGGTGTCAGGTCGGGTGTCGAGCGTCGGGTTTTGGCTCTGTTAAGTGTCGGGTTTTGGGTGTTGATTATTGGATATTTGCGTCGAAAGAATGGAGATTATCGCTTTATTCAATCTTAATTTGATGAAAGAATGGAACACTTCTCATTGTTGTCGTTGCTGATAATATTGTTACATATTATTCACTTCGCTTTATTTTGATTTCATTTATCTGTTTATTTGTAATTATCATTATTTTTTATTGATCAAGTATCTATTATTCAAACTATTTATCTATTTATCAATCTACATATTCTTCTCTTTTGGAATAAATTGATATAGGATTTATTTTTCTTATTATCATTATTATTATTATTATCATCATTATTGGCGAAAGTTAACAATATTTCGTTCTTGTTTTCTTTTGGCTTATCCTTCTGTTCTTTTCTTTTCACGTTGATTTTGTCTTTTCCTTTTTAATGTTATTGCTTTTTATATCTTATTTCACTTTTTATGCATATATATATTTTTTCTAGACTAGATTTTTACTTTTTTTCTTATTATTATCACCTTACACTTTATCTGAAATGTTTTTGTTTCCTTTTTTCGAGGTAGATTTTTTATTTTATTTCCTTTGTAGATTTCTTTTTTCCTTATATATAACAATGCTCTTTTTACGCTTTGCATTTTTCAAATAACATTTCCTTCCCTTTTTATATAAACCCTGTTTTAAGATACACCACGTTCGTTCCTCGCTTTTCCAAGTGGATTTACCTCCTTTTCCTTCTTTTTTTTTTTCTTTCCTTCCATTTTTTTTCTCTCTTTTTTTCTTTTTTTTTCTTCTCTTTTTCTCTCTCTCTTTTTTTTCTCTCTCTCTCTTTTTTCTCTCTCTCTCTCTTTTTTCTTTTTCCCGACGACGCTCTTCGTGCAAGGCATCACTAAACCCTCCGTCCTTCCCCTCTGCTGGATTCGCTCCCGCAGGAATACGATTCGCCCAATCAGAATGCTTTGCCTCCGCACATCACGTCTTAGGATCGTACACCGTATCTATTTCTCCTTCCGACGTTCGCGTCTTCTCTTCTCTTGCTCTCCGCTCCTTCTCATTCGTACTCCCTCGCTTCGCTTATTATCTGTATTACTATCATGCTGTGTGTATGTCTGTAAGTCTGTCTCTATCGGTTTCTCTCTCTCTCTGTTTATCTATCTGTCTATCTATCTATCTATCTACTGATCGATCTATCTATATATCTATCTAGTTATCTATCTATCTAATCCTTTTCCTTCCCCTCCTCCAGTAGGTCTTACTTCATTCTTCTTTTCCTTTCTCTTCCTCTCTTCCTCGCTTCCCGCTCTTTCATTTTGCTTTCTATTCCTCCGCTCGTCGCCTTTCCTTTAACCCTCATTTCCCTTTCTCTTCCTCCTGTTATCACTCCCTCACCCTCCCTCTCCCTTCTCTATCGCCTCCTCTTCTCCACCTTTCTTCATTATAATCCTTCTCTTTCCTTCTCTTTTCGTCCTCCTTCCATAACTTCTTTCTCCTCGTTTTCCTTTGTCCTCCTTCTACCCTACCCCTCGCTTCCTCTCCTCCTCTCGTCCTTCTTTCACTCTCCTCCCCCCTCCCTCCTTCCTCTTTCATTCTGTCACCCGCCTCCCGCTTTCAACCTTCCTCGCTTTCCTTCTCCGCTCTCTTTTACTTATTCCCTTCTTCCTTCATTTATTTGCCCCCTCCTTTGCCCTTCATCTCCTCTCTTCTTCCTTCTTTCATCGCCCCCCTCATCTTCCTTCACCTCCTCTCTTCCTCCCTCTTTCACTCTATCCTTCGCCTCCTCCTGTCTTCCTTCCCTTACCGTCTTTCTCATCTTAATTCACCTCCTTCCCCCTCTCTCTCCTCTGTTCCTCTCGTCTCCCTTTCACCTCCTCCCTTCCTTCATCCCTCCCTCACCTCCCCTCCCCTTCCTTCTCTGTCCCTCTCATCACCCTCTCACCTCCCCCCTCCCTCTCTCCCTCCCTCCCTTACCCACTTCTCTCTCCCTCCTCCCTCCCTCCCTCCTCCCTTTCCTGCCAATATCCTCCCCAACACTTGTTATTACCCAAGGAGATCAGCGTTACAAATGACACACGGATCCCCACAGAGAGCGGCACAGCTCGAGACGCGTGGCGGGGGGGGGGGGGGAGGGTGTGGTGGGGGGGGGTGGGGGGGGGGGCAATGAGAGCCATGTCTCATGTTTGGAGGAGCCTCGCTGTTCAATTGTTGGGAGGGGGAGGGGGAGGGGGGGTGATTGAAGTGCCGGTCGGATTAGCTCTGGCTTCGTATTAGTATTATGAGGATATATGCGAACGCACATATATATGTGTGTATATATATATATATATATATATATATATATATATATATATATATATATATATATATATATATATATATATATATATATATATATATATATATATATATATATATATATTGTGTGTGTGAGTGTGTGTGTGTGTGTGTGTGTGTGTGTGTGTGTGTGTGTGTGTGTGTGTGTGTGTGTGTGTGTGTGTGTGTGTGTGTGTGTGTGTGTGTATGTGTGTATTGTGTGTGTGTGTATGTGTATGTATGTATGTATGTGTGTGTGTGTGTGTGTGTGTGTGTGTGTGTGTTTGTGTGTGTGTGTGAGGGTGTTTTTTTTGTGTGTTTTTCCTCAGATCTGGTCGCCTAAGTGCCGTCTCTCCCTTCTGACTAAGCCATATGCCCTCCCCCCCCCCTCCCCCCCTCCCTCACCTTGCCTTCCTCCACTCCCAATAAACGTCCCTCCATCAGCCTTGATGTCAGTCTCCTTATTAAGCAAGACATGTTTTTAGCAGGCCATCAGCCTCGTCAGGCAGGCCACAATCAGTACCTTTCGCTTGTTGTTCCCAGGCTAAATTGAGTGGATGAGCGCCCGTGTCGAGCAAGGACGGGTGTGCGTCTTCGGAAATACAAGACTGAGTAAATACAACTGACTGCAAAACAGACTGAGCGCATGTCCCCGGATCTAAAAGCACATGTGCTCGATCCCTTTCGTAAAAATCTATGACTGCGTGCATGTTCATGGAGGTGTAAAACTACTGAACACGTGCATGTTTCTCTTATGAGAACCTGGCGATTGAGGGCATGTTCTCGTACATGCGTTTTGACCCCTTGACCTTTACGAGCTGACCGTGAAAATTGTTTGCGATTGTTCTCGTGGCTGTTGTGGTTCTATTTTTGTACTCTTTCTGCAAATTCGATTGAATTTAGGCACACCTTTGTTTATTTTTGTGAATGTGTGGGGCCCCTGTTCGTTTTTTATGTATCTTGCGTGACTGGATCATCATTCGTTTGTTTGTCTGGTTGTTTGTTTGTTTGTACGTGTGTGTGTGAACGTGCGTGCATGCATGCGTGTGTGCGTGCGTGCGTGCGTGCGTGTGTGCGTGCGTGCGTGTGTCGTGTGCTCGCCTGCGTGTGTGTGTGAAAGTTCCTCCTGAGGCCTGATATTGATCAGTGGTTCCATAATGCAGTTATAGCTTTCCCCTCCTCTACCCCTTGCCTCTTCGCCCTCCCTTTCCTCCTACCTATTTTCCCCTCTTCTTTTTCCTCCTCGTTATCGCCGGCTTGCCTTTTTCCTTTGCTCCTTCCCTTTAGTTATGTTTTTTTTTTTTACCACATTTCTTCTCCTCGTTATCCACCTTTCTTCTTTGTCAACTCCCTTTCCTCCCCTTCCTCTTTCTTCTCCACAACCTTCTCTTCCTTCCTTGTCTTCTTTTTCTCCTCCTGCCCATGTACTCTTCTTCCTCCTTCTCTTTCTCTTCAACCCCAATTTTCTCTATCTTCCTTTTTCTGCCCCCTTCCCCATTTCCTCTCCCTTATTATCCTCCTCCTCACCACCATCTCCTCCTGCCCCCTCCTCCCCCTTTTCCACTTCCTCTTCCTGCTCCTCATCTTCTTCTTCCTCTTCTTTTTCATATTCTTCTTCTTTCTCCTCCTCCTTATCCTTTTCATTTTCCTCGTCGTCTCCATCCTCCTCCTCCTGCTGCTGCTGCTCCTCCTCCTCCTCTTCCTCCTCCTCCTCCTCCTCCTCCTCTCCTCCTCCTCCCCTCCTCCTCCCTCCTCCTCTCCCCCTCCTCCTCCTCTTCCCCTCTCCACCTCCTCCTCCTTTTTTCTTTCTCTTCTTCTTCCTCCTCCTTATCTTCATCATCATCACCATCTTCCTCCCTTTCTTCTTGTCTCCCTCTTCCTCTCTCCTCCTCTCCTTTTCCTTATCTCCCCCCCCCTCTCCTTCTTTCCCTACACTTCCTCCTTTTCTAACCCCTTCTCCGCTTCTTCTCCCCCCTCTTTCTTTCCTTCGTCTTCCCCCTTCGTCCAATATCAATAACAGGTCTTGGGGCGAAGGCGATCAACTTGGCCCACAGCGTCATGGCGACTGTCAGGGAGTGTTGTACCCTAGGATTTCTAGCGCGTGTCCTGTCGTCCTTGTTCTCGGACGAAGAATCCTTCACAGGTATCTACAGAAGGAGGAGAGAGGCTTTCATTTTTGCTTTCACTGTCTGTTGTCTGTCTCTCTCTCTCTCTCTCTCTCCCTTTCTTTTCTCTTTTCTGTCTCTCTTTTTTTACTCTCTTCTCTCTCTCTCTTTTCTCTCTCTTTCTTTCTTCTTCTCTCTGTCCTGTCTCTTCTCTTTCTTACTGTCCTCTCTCACTCGCTCTCTCTCCTTTTCTTTTTCTCTTTCTTCTTCTCTCTTTCTTTCTGTCTGCCTGTCTGTTTGTCTGTCTGTCTGTCCTGTCTGTCTGTCTGTCTGTCTGTCCTGTCTGTCTGTCTGTCTTGTCTTCTGTCTCTCCTCTCTCTCTCTCTCTCTCTCTCTCTCTCTCTCTCTCCTCTCTCTCTTTATCTATAATATATATATATATATATATATATATATATTATTATTATGTGTGTGTGTGTGTGTGTGTTGTGTGTGTGTGTGTATATATATTAATATATATATATATATATATATAATAATATATACTATATATATATATATATTTATATATATATATATATATATATTATATATATATATATACATATAAGTAATGACTCTTCTCTTCCTCCCTCTTATCCTCTCTTCTCATTCCTTTTCCTCTTCCTTCTTCCTTTGCCCTTCCCCATCTTCCTCTTCCTTCTTCCTCTCCTTTTTCCTTCCCTTCCACCTTCCTTCCCTCTTCTCCCTTTCCCCTTCCTACTCCTTTCCTTCTTTCTCTCCTCCATCCCTCTTTTCCTCTTCCCCCACCTCCTCTCCTTCCTTTCCCTCCCACCTTCCTCCCCCTCCTCTCCTCACCCTTCCCCCTTCCTCTTTCCTTCCTCCCTTTCCCCACATTCTTCCTCTTCTTCTTCTTCCCCTTCCTCCCTCCTCTTCCTCTCCTTCTTCCTCTCCCCTTCCCCACCCCTCCTCTTCCTTCTTCCTCTTCCCCTTCCCTCACCTCTTTCTTCCTCTCCCCTTCCCACCTCTTCTTCCTCTCCCCCTCTCCCCACCCTCCTTTTCCTCTTCCTTCTCCCTCTCCCCCTTCCCCATCTCTTCTTCCCTCTTCTTCTTCCCTCTCCCCCTTCCCCTCCTCCTTTTTCCCTCTTCCTTCTTCCTCTCCCCTTCCCCCACCTCTTCTTTCCTCTTCTTCTCCTCTCCCCCTTCCCCCTCCTCCTTTTCCTCTTCCTTCTCCTCTCCCCTTCCCCACCTCTTCTTCCTCTCCCCTTCCCCTCCTCCTTCTCCTCTTCCTTCTTCCTCTCCCCCCCACCTCTTCTTCCTCTTTCTTCTTCCTCTCCCCCTTCCCCCTCCTCCTTTTCCTCTTCCTTCTTCCTCTCCCCCTTCCCCCACCTCTTCTTCCTTCTCCCTCTCCCCCTTCCCCACCTCTTCCTCTTCCTTCTCCCTCTCCCCATTCCCCCACCTCCTCTTCCTCTCCCCTTCCCTACTCTTCTTCCTCTCCCCCTTCCCCATCTCCTCTTCCTTCTTCCTCTCCTCTTCCCCCACCTCCCTTCCTCTTCCTCGCCCAAAGCAGTCGGTGTGTCAGCGCCTCTTTTCCCGGCGTAAAGCTTGCAGGTCACGACACTCGGGTTATTTGGTTACCGCTGGCAGGTCCGACCTCCGGGCCGCTTCCCTCAAGACCGCCTCCCCCAGGGCCGCGTCCTCGAAGGCTGGTGTCCCCGGGGGCCTCCGCCGGCCGCCGCCCCTCCTGCGACGCCTTTTCTCTGGCCAGCGCCGCGACCCCGAAGGCTTTGCTTGGTTCTTGCTACGGTCTCTTGCTCCTTATACTCTAGATGATTATGGAAATTAGTATATTATTATTTGCATTCAGTCTGGTGTTGTTGCTGTTGTTAAAATTATTAATATATTCGTCATCATAATCCTTATCATTATCACCATCATTATCATTATCAATACTATCATCCTCATTGTAATCATTCTAACGATCATCACAAACATCATCCATGATACTTTTATCCGAATTTCCGTGGCCATTCCACCACTTTTTTTCAAGAGCAACCTACATCAACCACTCAGATATCAGCTGTAGAAACCAACTAAAAATAAATAGATCCAAGCACTCAGCAGTCAACAAAAAACAACACAAGTTCAAACAAACCCTAAGTTGTTAAACAGAGCTGCTACAAAGGAAATAAAGCGAGAAATTGTAGAAAAAAGGCTCGAAAGGTCAAAAAACGGGTAAGGAGTAAAAAATGAAAAATAAAAAATATAGGTTTAAAACAGGAAAGGGGTAAAAAAAAAAAAATTAAAAGGGGGAGGGGTTCAAAAAAATGTTACCAAAAAGGGGAGACGTTAAAAATGGGTTTCAAAAGAAGGTGGCTCTGAAAAGGGACTTAGGTTTCCAAAAAAAAAAAAAAAAAAAAAAAAGGAGAACGCTTAAAAGGGGAGGGGGTGTTGTAAAAGAAATTCCAGGGGGTTCCAAGGCTTCAAATCCCCCCAATAAACCTCAACGAACATTTTCCTTTGCAGACGCTAGTTAACCGTAACCAATTCTGGACGTGACTTTATCGAACCGGTATATACTCGACGGACGGCTTAAACCAGGTCAGCTCCTAACGACTCGCTGAGGGTAATGAAGTAGTTAATCCAGTAAAGAGAGAGCGGGCTGCGCAGTGCATGAGGAGGGGGGGGGGGAGAGAGTGGAGGGGAGGGGGCGGAGAGAGAAGAGGAGCAGAGGGAGGAGAGGGAAGAGGAATAAGGAAGAGGAGTTAGAGGGGGAGGGAGAGGAAGTATGGCGAGGTACAGAGGGAAGAGGAGGAGGGGAAGGAAGAGGAGAAGTTAGAGGGGGGAAATGGAGTGGGAGAAGAGGGGAGAAGAAGGAGGAGGGGAGGAGGTGTTAGAAGGGAAGAAAGAGAGTATGAGGAAGAGGAGAGGGAGAAAATAGTGGTGGTGGAGGAAGAGGGAGGCATGAAATAGATGGAGGAAGAGGAGGGGATAGAGGAGGAGGAGGATAAGGGGAAGACAGCGAGAGGGAGGCAGTAAAGGATTAGTATGAGGAAAATGAAGAAGAGGAAAAGAGAAGAGGGAAGGGCAAGAATGCAAGGAAGAAAGGGCAGGCGTATGACGAAGAAAAGGGGAAGGGAGAAGAGAAGAGACTATAAGGAACATAAGGCGGACCGTGAGATGATGGAATTGAGGCGTTCGAAGCAGCAGAATGATGGAGGAAAGAATGGCGGTCGATGGAAAGACTCCAGCCGTAAGAAAACGAAGAAAGAAAGGTAAGGAATAAGGACACGACGATAGAGAAGACGGAACAAATGGAACAAAACCCCACTAAATATCCTTTGCATCCAACAAAGAGTAATAAAGGATGTAATACTATATGCTTATTTGTGTATAGAAGTATACATATATATATGTGTGTGTTTATGTTTGTATATATGATATTTATCTATTTATCTATCTATTCATTCATTCATGATATTCGCATAAAGTATATTCACTGAAAATGACAAAGCAAAACGACTCCAAAAAAAATGATACAAACATAGAAACATAAAAAAAGGATGCTCTTGCACTCGGAGATCATAATCACGGAATATGATGCTTACAGG